ATGGACTTAAACAAGCTCCAAAGAAATAGAGTGAAAAATTTGATCATACCATGATGGATAGTGGTTTCAAAATCAATGAATGTAACAAATGTATATACGTAAAGACCACTGAGTCAGGTTACGTGATAATATGCCTTTACGTAGACGATATACTTATCATTGGTAGCAACAAATATATCGTTAAGTTTACCAAAGACGTGCTAAATTCTAGATTTGACATGAAGGATATGGGTCTCGCTGATGTGACCTTAGGAATTAAGATCAACATAAACGCAAATGGTCTAATTTTGAGTCAAACTCATTATGTAGACACAATCCTCAAAAAATTCAGTAAGGATGATGCAGGAATAGCGAGAACTCCGCTTGAAAAAAGTATCCATTTATCCAAAAATCGTGAAGATGGTGCATCCCAAATCGAATACGCTCGGATAATTGAAAACTTAATGTACCTAATGAGCTGCACTAGACCCGACATAGCTTATGCTATAAGCAAGCTGAGTACGTATACAAGTAATCCTAGTCGTGAGCATTGGAAAGCTGAGTGTACTTACGGTACACTCGAGATTACGGGCTGCACTACAACAGACGTCCAGCTGTAGTAGAAGTCTACTCAGACACCAATTGGATATCTGACACACTTAATTCGAGATCAACTAGTGGATATGTGTTCACACTAGCTGGTGCAGCAATCTCTTGGAAATCCTCAAAACAAAGAATTATTGCCAAATCCACAATGGAATCTGAGTTCATTGCTTTGGACAAAGCTGGAGAAGAGACAAAATGAATTTGCCACTTCCTTGAGGACATTCCATAATGGAAAGAGTCGACATATTAGATAGTAAATCTTCTATTGGCAGAGCAGAAAGTACAATGTACAATGGAAAGAGTCGACATATTCACCGTTGACACAAATCCATAAGACAAGTGATCACAACTAAGGTTATTACGATAAACCATGTTGCGTCAAAAGATAACCTAGTGGATCCGCTAACCAAAGGGTTAAATCGTGATGCAGTGTACAAATTGACTAGCGGAATGGGGAGTAAGCCTGCTGAAATATAAGTCTTATAAAGGAAAACCCAACCTCAAATGATTGGAGATCCCAAGAACTAGATTCAATGGGACAACCTGCCTATAAAACTTATGTTCATCACTGTGGGGGCTAATAGCCTCAACCAATTCCTATCAACGAACAGTGACAGAGTAGAGAAGGAAGCAAATAAGTGCTTTAATGGTTACTAAGTGAGTATTGTATTACTTGGATACTTAGAAATATCACCTATGTAAGAGAGAAGTGAGGCCGCTTCAAAAGAGAACTGCCCAGGCTAAGTTCTTTAGAAACTCTTGCAGAACCAGGATGGGTTCCGTAGCCAAAATGGACCAAATAATGAGAACCAAACTAGAAATGTGGATTCTGTGTCGGTTTGTAGTTCATTTACTAAGAAATTGAACAGTTCAAGGATAACGTATCCACTGGACAATTGGTAAACCTATGTGTTGCTCAAGGAAAGTTCAAAGGGAAACCTACTTATCCTATGCAGAACTCGCTCTTCTTTCATCGACTAAACGTCATTTTCTCTTTCACGTGGGGGATTGTTCGTGTGTGAAAGAGGAGAAGAAAGATATAAATAAATAAATAAAAATTGGCCTTGTCCCGCATGGGAAGAACAAACAAACCACCACCTCCTTATAAGCATTTATTCCCATTTATTGTTCAATTGGGAATGGATTAGATGAGATAATGTCTTGGGCTTTGGCTTGGGCTTTGACTTGGGCTTGGAATTGGGTATGTCAAGATTGGACCTTGGCCGTGGGAGCTCGTGGGCTGGGCCCAATAAGAAAAATTCCAATTCTTTTAAATTTAATTTTATCTGATTAATTAATTTTGATTGTTTCAAATTTTAATCGGAAAAATAAAAAAATATTACAATAAATATTGGAACGTGTTGAGGTGGTTACCGTTTTAGTGGACACGTGATTTAATCTTCTTCTTCTTAAATTAAAGAACACAGCCAACAAAAACTTGAACATAAATACAAAATCTGCTCTCGACTCTCTGTTTTTCCTTTCTAATTAATTTCTCCTCTAAAAACTTCTTGTTTCTTGGTTCAGTTCGTTCTGGGATTGTAAATCCATAATCGATTCGTTTTATCCTAGGAAGCAATCGGTGGCAGGCCGAATTTTCTTTAAGGAGATCGCGTGCAACGCAAAACTCTAATCTTCTTAATCAAATCTGTTATTTGATTTTGAATTGAAGCATCTCAATTTTCAATATTACATATTTAGTAACAGAAACTTCCTTCCCAATTAATCCTCATAATATTTGAACAAGAGTATTATCTTCTAATAAATTCGAGTCATTCACGAAGGCTATATATTGTTATACATATGAGTAACATGTACAACTAATTTTATGTGTAGTTGTAGGTTTAAATCATGAATGCAATTTTTAAAATTTCTTTGTTGACAATTTTGTTTTATTTACACAGGAATTTTATTTTATTTTTGGCGATGAAGACCCTAAACACTTGTATGAACAAAAGCTAGGTGGAGGATTGTTAATTTTGACATGTGATATTTGAGCCGCAAATTGATCCAAAGGCCAAGTAAGAACCAAGCCAATTTTCTAAGGCCCACGGATCCACTTTCGAGATTAATCCACATCTGTCCGATGGAGGGTTTTTTGTTACCTATTGATTCCGACCTAATATATATATATATATGTTGTATATGCGCAGCCATTACTCATTCATATCTTCTCTATCATCTTTCATTCTCTCTCAATGGTTATTCTTTCATTTTTCTTACTCTCTAATCCTATCTCTAAGGTAAGTTCTCTCAGTTCCTAGCTGTGTATTTTGTGAAGTTTGAGGACCGGTGATCTTGTTTCTGGTGACGCGTAGACTGATTATGTCTTCTTCATCCTTTTGTTTGATCATTTATTTTGTGAGTGGTGTGTTTTTGTGTACCGTAAGTCAAATAAATCTAGGGTTTTGTCTTCAAAAGTAAATCGATAGTTGCGAGATGATGGGAACTAGTGAGTTGTTTGATCACATCTTTGGGTATTGGTTCTTGTCATCTATTTTTTGAATCGTTTGTATGTTGGTGTACTAGGGGCTGAACCACTATACACTTTTTTAAATCATTCGTGATATAGTATGTTTATACGTGTGCCATCTAATGATATGTCAGGCGTCGTCAAGGTTTGGATCATTGAACATGTCATTAATCGCTATGTTCGTAATATAGTATGTTTATAAAAATGTACATCGAATATTATGTTGACAATGATTAATCTCTATCATATATTTTGTCTTTCCATAGCCATTCAATTATAATTTTTTTACCTTAATAATAGCTCCTATCATTTCCACTTGTAATGTGCTGAACTTATTGGCATACTTTCAAGGTATACTAAGAAAAATTAGAGATGCTAGGACAACAGAACCTGGGGTTGTCTCTGTGAAAGAAACCAGTTGGACCTTATCATGGGCCACAATCTGTCTTCCTGTGCAATATTGCGAACCCACAATATACAAGGTTTCTTAATTTGCTGACATCTATATTGATTTTCCGTTCTTGTTTGATTGGAGATTACCTTTTGGTTTGTCTACATGTGTATTATTTATCCATTGCCTTGTTTATAATTATTTATTTATTTATTTATTGTGTAGGGTCTATTTGAAATTGTTTCAATAGTTTGTACATTTGTTCAGTTTAAAACGTCACATCAAATGATTATTTTTTATAAGTTTCTTTCTATCTAAATTTTTGTTCTCCTAGCTTTGTTTTTGATTGGCTAATTTGTTTATCCATTATGATTATTGTAAATTTATACGTGTACAAGATGAACATTGAATGTCTCACAATTCTATATTGTCTCTATACAAATCTACACCAATCATTTATCGAAAATGTTAGACTTCGTGTATATTTTCTACTCTATCTACAAATTTTAATCGTTCGGTTATCAAATGTGAGAGTGTGTGCCTATAAATAATAACACAAACATTCTCCATCAATAAAATTTGATATCTCATGATATCATACATCCAAAAGAAGACGAGAAAAACAAGCATTACCTCTGACCAACATTTACTTCTATAATGTTCACTCCCACTAGTTGAAGCAAGTTTTGTATTTCTACAGCAGTTTTTCCTTCTGCGTCATTGTCCCTGTTTATAAAAAGCTTCTTTTATCTGTTTTTTTTTTTTCAATACCCACTCTACTTGTCTTAGACATTCTCTCAAACAAAGGAAAGAGCTCCAAATACTCAATTAAACACCTGCAAGATGGTTGTAGCAATTTTTTTATTTTTTATTTTTATTTTACACAGATTAGTTTCGAAGTCAAAGGTTTAATTTTCTTGTTGAACGATAACGCGCCCAAAGGCAACTCACATAGAGAGGACTGTGGCGCCAGCTACAAACCACAGGCCCACACCCTCAGGTTGGACTATTGAATGTAAAGCTTAAGATCTAATATTCCAGAGATTTTTATTATGGTTTTGCATTTTTAAAATTGTTATCTAAGTATATGAATTTGATCTAACCTTAAACACTCTTGACCAATTTGATCGATCGAAAAGCATATCTTTACTGTCAACAAAGGGGAGGTAAATATTTCAACATACTAATAATTTCTCTTATGCAAAATCTTGACAATTGCATGTGTATTAAGTGTTTTAATATGTCTTGTATGACTTAATTGCATCATAAACATTTATATGTGTGTCATATAATGGTATGCCACGTGTCGTCAAGGAGTAGATCATTGCACTTATCATTAATCAGTATGATTGTAATTAAATATGTAGTTACATACATGAAGTACATTGATTATTTATGTTGTCGATGATTAATCTCCGTCATACATTTTTCTCTCCAGAGCCATTAAACTATGCTTTCTTTACCTTGATGAGAGCTCCTATCCTTCCACTTTTAATGTACTAAACTTCTAGGCATATTTTTTCAGGATATATTCATAAAAGTAATGGAAGTTGCGACGATAGAACCAGGGGTTGTTTTCATGAATGCAACCGGTGGGATCTTGTTGCTCGCCACAATCTGCCATTATGGGCAAGAATGGGAACACTCAATATATGAGGTTTCTTAATTTACTGACATCTATATTGTTTTTTCATTCTTGTTTGATTGAGGTTAACCTTAGATTTGTTTACTTATATTTTTATCAGATTTTTTGTTATTTATTCATCTATTTAATTCCTTTTATTATAATTATATAATTTTTTTGTAGGGTCAGTTAGAACTTGTTTCATTGGTCGGTACAATTGCTCCATTTAAGGATGGGGTTCTAAGTGGCAAAAAGGTAGGATGAATATCACGTTACTTTGTCCTGATGGGGAGCACTCAGTGGTAGAGTAGAAGGTCCAACGATTGCTGCATGCAGGCGTTGTACATGTTAGTTCTTTTCTTGAAAGATGGTTTTGCATTTGAATCACTAAATTTGTTATAAAGTTATTTGTGTGTTTGGTTGAAATATTTTTGTTGTCTTATACTATTTATCAAATTTGTTCTTTCATAAAATGTTAAATCAAACACTTATTTCTTTATATTATACTAAAATTTTAATTTTAAATTTAAAAATATCGTATCAATACTTATTTATATCACATTATATAATTATATCAATTCAATTTTTTTTACTATACAAAACTCAAACCGAAAATTCAAACCCCAACAAACTAAAATGGCCAAGTTTTGCAGAAGATGATGTGATTTTCTCTTTAGTGACTAATATTGCTATGTAAATAATGTCTATACATCTAATACAATTAGAAGAGTGCTTATCCATTAGTGTGTCTAGGGAATATCTGATTGAAAAAAAAAAATCATTCGTCAAGTGTGCCGGTGATTGTGGCAGGAGTTTGTTTATCACAGTATGTGATCATGGTGTGTCCCTTTCTTATGTCTCATGTGAATGTTCTGTTCTTTCCTTCAATTGCAGATCAATCTTTCTTGCTCGTCCCATGATGAACTATGATGGAGGGAAAATTTAGCACTTTGATAACTTCTTGTAAATTGAGAGTATTGTAGTTGTGTTGCTGTAAACTTAATGTTCTGTTGATATTTATTATGGAGGATGTTGTTATTTGTTGTATATGATGCTCATGTTCTAAAATGTTAATTTTATACTTTCCTCTGCTTTACATTTTCTTCCTCTTTGTCTTAAATTTTTGTAAAAATATTATATTTGATGTTTCAATCTAATACAACACATTTTTGCTGGTTGTTCTACATCAACTTGCATTATCTTTTGCTAATGATACGCCACTAGTATGTTGCATTGACATACCTGGGAATCTACCGATCATCCTCGACAAGGAATTTTATAGGAAAATTTGATTTTTGCCAACAAACGTGATGTTTGGTAGTTTGACTTTTTAAAGGTAGATATTTTATTTTAAAGTTATGAAAAGTTTGATTTAATGCTAGCATTTTATATTGTATAATAAATATTAATGAATTATAATTAGTAAGTTGCTAAATTGCCAAATTGTTGACATGGTTGGCTGAGTGTTGCCTAAGGGATATGATGTTCACCTTTTTTCTTTCTACTGGAGACAGCTAAAGTGTTGATGATGATTGTGTGGATTGTATATAGATGTTTGATCAAACATGTTCGTGTGTATTTTTATTGTTCTCATAGTGGATTGCACATTGGGTATCTGGTTGACCTGAAGATGTGTAGTAATGTATTTCATCTATGTGATTTGTGTTAGCCTTTTTCTTTTGTACAGACAAATTCGACGTGTAATGCTGAAAGGATTAACTATTTAATTTTTTATATATATATGAAATGACGTGTATAACAGTGTATATATTTTAATTTGAAAATAACTTTTATTTAATAGAAATAATATTTGCTTCTCGTGAAGTTGGATGTGGCAATTTTACCTTAGATCATAAATAGTAATATATGATATGACATCATCTGCTTCACACTGCGTCCACGCTCTTCATGTTCTCTATACTTGAACATTTTAAAAATTATAACATGTTATATAATTATAATAAAAGATATGGTAAATATGAGATAAACGGTCTTGTTTTAAATGTTTTAGATGTGCAGAGCCTTTCACTCAAACTATTTAAAGTGAATCGAACTAATTATAGAGAAATCTAATTAAAAGTTAAAATTATTAGAAATGACACCAAATGTTTGAAATAGTTTTTAAGTTTGTATGAAAAATATTGTATAAGATTAAAGGAAATGTTGTTCAAATAATTTTTAAAATTACTTGAACAAACTATAAAATTTTAAATAGTAATGATTATTTTATCATTTAAAAATATTTACCGATAATAATAATAATAATAATAGTTGGATAGCACTTATAATAATTTTCTTGATATCATAAGACTTTAATGAAATAATTACTTTTTTATTAAACAAACTCACCAACCCATCTAAAAATCCATTAACAAATACAACCAACCAAACTTATAATAGTGGTGGGCCGATATATTTCATTATAAAAAGACTAAATCAAAAATCTAATATTTTTCAACATTACTCGACGTTGAATTATATATATATATTTATTAGATTCACATTCTTATCAAAATAATTATAAACCCTAATTGTACAGTCATGTGCTTCATCCTTGCAAATTCCTATATGAAAAGTTCAAATTTGTGCTCCATTTTGTAAAGCTTTTTGGATCTAAATTTGTTATCTTCTGAACTTTGTATCTCTTTGGATGGTTTCTTTGAACATTTTGGGAATTGTATATTTTTCTTAGTTGATTTTTTACACATATTATAACTTTGAATTTAAAGGTTTAATTTTGCAAGTTGAACAATGGGGAGCATAAAGATAGATGCCATAAAGATGACTATGGTTCCCACTGGGAAACTCAGGTTCAAACCCTTGGGCAATATTATTGAATGGAAATCTCAAGATCAAATCTTCGAGAGATTTTTATTATGTTTTTGCATTTTCTAAATTGTGATCTAAGTATACTCATTTGATAGGACCTTAAAGTCTCTTGACAAATTGGGTTGCAGGTTCTACCAATACCAAAAGATTCAAACAAAACATTCTCACTGTAAACAAAAGGAATTGTTAAATATTTGAACATACTACCAATACCATAAGATTCAAACAACATATTCTCATTGTCAACAAAAGGAGTGGTTAAATATTTCAACATACAGATAATTTCACTTAAGCAAACTCTTCACATTGCAACGTGTTTTAAGTGTTTTAAGGTGTAAATCATTGTATTTAGTACGTTGCTACATATATAAATGAACTGCATTAATTATTTGATTTGACGATGATTCTCCATACTATATTTGTCTTTCCATAGTCTTTACCACTTTTAATGCAGTGAACTTATTGGCATATTTTTTAAGATATACTAATAAAAATAATGGATATTACTACAACTATAACAACCAGTGGGACATTATCACGGCCACAATCCGCCTACCTGCTCTACCTGCCTAACCCACAATATACGAGGTTTCTTAATTTATTTATTAATTTTTCATTTCTGTTTAATAGGAGGTTACCTTTTTTTTTTTTTTTTTAATTTTGTGTCTGTATTTCTATAGTTATTTCTTCCATATGTTCTCTTTAAGAAAATGTTCCATTTTTTTACTGACATTGTATTCAACTACTTGCCATTGATGTTACTCCTTTTAGGGGTTGCATTGGTATTCACATCTTGTAATAACACTATAACCATTGAATTAGGTCTTTTGTGGTGTGCCAAGTCAATGGGCACTGGGGAGCACAAATATATGCGGACAATCAGCACATCCGGCTAGGAACCTTTAAATCTGAAAAGAAGCCGCCATGGCATATGATAGCGCTGCCATCCGACTCTGCATGGAACTTCCCGTAGTCGGACACTACTCTCAACGAGACAAACTTTTAGAGCCAGTTCAGCACCCAAGTTCTCCTTCGCATGATCAGATACGGGTCTTACGCTGCAAGGTTTTCTGATTTTTTGCAGACTCAAGATAGCAATCGACACCCTACTTCGCCGAGCTCCGTATCATTATCTGGGATCTGCAAAAAGTAGCTTTTGCAAAATGGGCTGACACAAAGCGACTTGGGGAGGTTCAACTGAGTCGTCTTCCCCAAAAGATATGCAGAGAAGTACTTCTCTGGTGTTTCCATTGCAAATAGAAAAAATAAGAGAGGTAGTGTTAATTTGGGGCTTGTATTCTTCGACTGTTCCTTGAGGTCCTGGATGTTACATGTGTACTTAGTCCTGAGGGAAGTCAATTCAATGGTATAGTGGAGGTACCCACCATCACTGCATCTGCTGTACAGGTTTGTTGCTTTCTTGTAAGAAGGTTTTAGATTAGCATCAGTAAATGTGATAAAATTAATTGCTTATTCAGGAAGCATTAAAATGCCCAAGTTTAGCAAAAGATGTTGGGGATTTCAATTTTGTGACTAAACTTGCTATGTGAATAACATTTATACATCTAATCATTCGGTAAATTAGAAGCATTAGAAGCACATGCTTACATTTAGCTTAGCCATTAGTCTGTCAAGGGAATATTTTATTGAAAATAATTTTCATTTCATCAAGTATGCCATTGATTGTGGCCGGAGTTTTTTTTATCACTGAATGTGATCGTGTTGTGTCTCCCATGGTAAGACTTTGGGCTGCATCCTCCACCCGAGCGGCTAGGGGTGGGTTGAGTTCCCAACCTACTGTCAAGTAATTAATATTATTCAGCGGAAAGCATATGATCCAATATTCCAAAGATTTTTATTATATCTTTACATTTTTTTATTTCGATCTAATTTGATCGAAAGTCCACCTCATCTTTAGTGTTGCCACATCATCGCGCGTGCCCTCACATGCCATTTTCTGATGCCAATTGATAGAAATAACGACTATGGTCAAATTATTATCTAAAATTATATATCTTAATACTAAGCCCCAACTAGCGGAAAAAGATTTACAATTTCCCGTAATTTTTAAGTTAATTGTCGTAAAATTGACAACAAAAATACAATAAATCTATAATTTGATAGTAATGTAAAAATTAAAGAGAAACAATCTACGTGGTTTAGGATAAATATCTTCATCCACGGGCGGCGGGAAAATTTTCATTTATCAAATAGAGTCCCACGTACAGTGCCCAGCAAATGAGCAAATAAAGGCAATTATCAAACTCAAACAAATAATCGCACCAAGCTGCCCCGACAATCGATTGAGGTGGGAATAGCACAACAAAATTAACAAAAATAACAAACTCCAATTAATTTCTTTCTGTGACTTAGGTGGAGGTATAATTGATTTTCCAATCTTAATTTATTGGCTTAACTCCATCTTATGGCTACACATTCCTCCTACACATGGAACTTCTTTCTTAATATATTTTTGATTTGGGCCACTTTTGGATTTAATAAATGAGCTTAATTCCAAGCCAAGCACAAGCTGATCAACTTCAGGCCCAATTTTTCTTATAATACATTTATACTCTTTTTAAATATAAAATTGAAAACAATATAATTAGGAAATTAGGGATTAAGTTTGGTTTGGCGCCGCAATAACTTTTTGCTGGGCACCAAACCCTAGGGTTCTCTCAGGTTATAAATACCCAGCGCGCATACGTCCTGTACGGCGGATCTGGCCGCTTGATTGGTGCCTGAGGAAACTCTGCTTAAATATCTGCCCAGTTTCTCTGGATCGACCACCCACACTACCAGGCTCAACTCCTCAGGTAATTTATATTATTCAATGGAAAGCAGAAGATCTAATCATCTAAGGGTTTTTATTATTGCTTTCTGTTTTTTAAATTGTGATCTGAGTATAATAATTTGATCAAACTTTAAACACTAATCTTGAAAAATTGTGATTGCATATTCTTCTGAGAACTTCAAACAGTATATTCTATTCTCACAGTCGATGAAGAAAAGGTTATATAAGGTTATATATTTCAACGTACTCATATTCCCACTCTTGAGATTGCATGTGTTTCTATTTTATTTTGTATGATTTTCTTGCATTATAAGCATTTATATATATGTATCGTGTAATATTATGCCACGCGTCGTGAAGCTATAGATCATTGCACTTTCCATAAATCACAATGCTCGTTTAGTATGCAGCTACATAAATGAACTACATTCGTTGTTTGTTTTGACAATGATGGACCATAATATGTTTATCTTTCCATAATAGTTAAACTATACTTCATTGCTATGACTTCCCCTTGTAATGTAGTGAATTTATTGGCATATTTTTCAAGATATATTAAAAAGAATAATGGTTGTTATAACAACCCGTGGGACCTTAGCTTGTGCCACAATCTCCCTACCCGTGCAACATGGAGAACCCTCATTATATAAGGTTTTTTTAATTTACTTACATCTATATATTGATTTTTATTCTTTTTGGATAGGAGGTTACCTTTGGTTTGTTTACTTGTATTTACTTGGGTTTTATTTATTTAACTTTTTTCTTGTGTGCGTGCTTTTTAGGTTGCGCTTATATTTAATTTTGGAATAACACTAATTGTTTAATTAGGTGTTTTAAATTTTACCCTTTAAATATATATATATATATATAATTTGATTGTAAACAATTTTCATTCATCAAGTGTGGGATCAATTGTGGCCTGAGTTTGTTTATCTCTGCATCTCCTTTGCACGTTAGTTCCTTTCCTGAAGCAGCATTAAAATCCCCTAGTTTAGGAAAATATCTCGATTTCAATTTAATGACTAAAGTTTCTATGTAACTAATATCTGTGCATCTAAGTATTTGGTAAATTAGAATAGCATACATTGATTTTCTTTGCCATTAGTGTGTCAAGGTAATATTTAATTGAACCCAAATCTTATTCATCAAGTGTTCCATTAAATGTGGTGGGAGTTTGTTTATCATGCTGTGTTTCTTTCTTCTTTTTGTAAAATCATAAGCTGAAATAAATACATGTAACATGTTCATTGTAGAGATATGTAATTTTAAAAAAAATTTGAAAGTATTCAATTCAAAATTTTAAAAGTTTTTTTAAAATCATGAGACGTTCACTTTTAATTGTTTTTTTTTAAATACTGAGGTATTAAAAAATTATGTACTTTAAAATTCTATGGATTTTATGAAATTCTTGTTGAAAATTATGAATAAATAATACAGGGTAAAAATAATAATAATTTCAAAAACTAAAATATACTAGCGAAAAATAATAATTTTAGTCCCGTAACTGGAGACGGTTTTAAAATAGTCACGTAAATGGAAAACTTTCGCACATTTAATCCTCGATGCCTATGTAGCAGCTGCGTGACATTCCGGCGGACACCATGTAGATAATTTATATTTATTCTTATTTTTTATTTTTTTGAAATATATAAATTAAAAAATTTAAAATATAAAAAAATAAAATAAAATTTAAAAATTAAAAATATAAAAATTAAAAAATAAATAAAATAAATAAAATAAAAATTATCCACGTATTCACAAGGTCAACAACACGCGACCTTTAATAATTTGTATATTATATTATTATATTTTATTTTTAATTTTATTATAATAATTTATATAATATTTTTTAATTATATTTTTATATTTTATTTTTTATTTTATTATAAAATAAAAATTATCCATGTATGGGGCACATGACGGACCCGGACCCGGCAGAAATGTGGATAATTATTTTTTTTAATTTTATTCTTTTTCTAATAGGTAATCTTTTTATTTTGTTTATTTTTTATATTTTAAAATAAAATAAAAATTAAAAATGATCACTAAAATAAAGGGTCCACTTACTATATGGGTAGGATTTTAACCTAAATCACTTTGCAATAATACAGTGTGAAGATATTTTGATAAATTTTTAAAATTATTATTATTATTATTATTATTATTAGTATTATTATTAGAAGTAATAAACATTATTATAATATTTTTTAACATTACTATAATCTTTTAATCAAATAATAATAATTTCAAAAACTAAAATATACTAGCGAAATATAATAATAATTTCAAAATTTTAAATATAATATAGCAAATATTAGCAAATTTTTCAAAAATATATAGTTTTAATTGAAATTATTAATTATTAATTATTTTCTTTTACATCAGAAAAATAAATATCCAAATAAATTTCGTTAAAAAAGATATGGAGAGGATTTGAAACTCAAATCACATGACCATGGGACATTGTTGTCTCCATATTTATTTTATTTCATTACCATTTAAGGCAAACTTGTTAAATTAATAATGCATATATATATATATATAAAATTAAAAATTTTAATATATAAAAATAGTATTATGCTACAATTATTATACATCATTAATAAAAATATATATTTTTTATTTTAACTATTACATTTTTTGGTATTTTTATTTAATTATTTAAATATTGTATAAAATTTAAAAATATGTTTCATATAAATTTATACTAATTATATAAAGTCATAGCACAATTATTCTACAATAATCTGAAATTTATATAAATCTATATACAATCAAATTAAATTTATAAAATTCATTTTAATCAATATATAAAATTCATCAAATTCCACATAGACTTGGTGGATTTTTTAAATCTATATAAATATATTAACTTTTTTTAAAATCCAATCAAATCTCAAATGAATACACTCCTTTAGACTCAAGATATTCTTTTTGGTAATCAAAACCAATATATAGTATTAGTATGTTAGTATTATTTTAGAGCATAATCAAGGTTATCACGGCCCCTCGGCCTCCTGGCAGTGCACCAGTATCACAAGACAGCTCGTCTCACTGTTTGACATGGCCGGCGGCCTGGCATCACCGAACTTAACTTGAATTTTTTGAGTCAGTACATGACCCAACTTGAATTTAAAACCCTAAAACCCCGAGGTTGCTGGTACATTTTTTTCCTCTTCTCGTCCTATTTGCCTCTATTTTTTCCACGCGCCATCACTACGGTTGTTGGTCAGTATATGTAAGGTTTTTTTGTATGTTTATTTCTCTTTTCATACCAATTTATTTTGTTGATTTTATATCTAATTTTCTTGATTATGCATGAGTACTTTTAATAATTTTTCATGGATAATAATAATCGCGTTTTGAAACTTTTAAGTTAACATCTTTGTATTTGGTATTTTGTTAGTGATGTTTAATACTTTCATGTTTTAGTAATATGATATTCTATTTTAAACTTATTAAAAGTTCAGTGATCTCGGTTAGTATTTTATATTTTGTATTTTATAATAAATATTAGAAATTTATAATTGATAAGTTGGCCAATTCATCAACATGGCGGGCACTATGTCAACCAAGCGATGTCATAGTCCCTTAGTGCCATGCCCAGAATCCAAACATAACTAACCTTGATTGCAAATTTTATAGTTACATTTGGCGTATGTCTTTTGTTCGTCTATATTGGTTGTAAGAGCGTTGATGCTCACTGTGTGGATTGATCAAAGACATGTTACATCTAATTTTTCCGTATTTTATAAGAGTGGAATCATAGTTTGCATTTTTTTTTTGCTAAAACCTTTGCAATTTCTAGGGTATCAAATATACTGGTTGGATGCACTGATATTTCTAATATGAACAGGCTCCGGCCAATCCATTTATTTGGGGTCCGGTAATGTCTACCCTTATCGGGTCCGGGTCGGGTCTCGGGTCAACGGGTGGATCCTACTTCGACCCGGACCCGATTAATATATTATTAATATATTAATTATATATATGAAAAAAATTAATTTTTAATAATATAAATTATATTAAAAAAATGTGTTTAGTTTTTTTTATTATTTTATTATAATATTTTTGAATAAAATATATAAATATTAAAATATGTCGGATCCGGGTCCAATTTTAAGTTAAATATTAACAATTAAAAAAAAAATTTCGGGTTGGTCGGGTATTGTTCGGGTCGGGTCTTGGGTCAACTATCTGTATTCGGTCGGGTCGGGTCTCGGGTTTGGCTGGACCCTACCATTGCCATCCCTAGGTCTTGCCTACTTCTCAGCTGGTGTGGGTGGGTCGACCTCCAACCCTCCTGCCGAGCACCACCCTCAGGTAAGCATAAGATCTAATGTTGGAGAGATATTTATTATGTCTTTGCATTTTATAAAATAGTGATCTAACTATAAGAATTTGATCTAACCCTAAACACTACCGTTGACAATTGTCCTTGCAGATTCTTCCAATGCGGAAAACTTCAAAATGAAGATTATCTCAGTCAATGAAGGAGAGGTTATATATTTCAACATAATGATGATTTCTCATGTTCAAACTCTTGAGATTACATGTGTTTTTGTTTACTTTGTATGATTTGCTTGCACTAGAAGCATTTATACCTGTATTATGTAATATTATGCCACGCGTCGTGAAGGTGTAGATCATTGCACTTGCCATAAATTGCTATACTTGTAATTTAGTATGTAGCTATATAAAAAAACTGCATTAATTGTTTGCTTTGACGATGATGCTTCGACACATATTTATCTTTCCATAGCCGTTAAACAATACTTTATTTACCTTGATGAGATCTTGTCTTATTCCTACCAGTTTCCACTTTTAACATACTGAACTTAGTGCCATATTTTTCAGGATCTCTTAGCAAAGATTGTTGATGCTACTATCACTGAACCAGGGGTTGTTTTCGTAATAACAACCACTGGGACGTTATCAGGCGCCACAATCCGACTACCTGCGGAATATGGCGAACACAGAATATACAAGGTTTCCTAAATTACTTAAATCTATATTGACTTTTCATTCTAGTTTGCTAGGAGGGTACCTTTGGTTTGTTTACTTGGGCTTTCTTGGATTTTGTTTATTTAATTATTTTTGTGTTTATCTGCGTGCTTCTATATGTTTTTTCATCCATCTGCACTCGTACAGAAAATGTTCCATTTAAATGACATTTTATTCAACTACTTGCCTTTGATGTTAACCATTTTATGGTTGCACTTATATTCAATTTGGGAATGACAGTAATCATTGAATTGGATGTTTTATCAATTTTATGGCCAATTCAATGCTATGCTATGAATTGCACTTTTTTAAAGTACGATTAAATATTTAATCTTCAAGTAATAAATATCGGTACCTTTTGATCAGGAGCATGTTTTTCTAGTTGGTCATCTATCTTTATTTTATATATATATATATATATTTTTTTTTTATGTGCCTGTGTGTTTAGGGTCCGTTTCAAATTATTTCAATGGTCGGTTCCTTTGTTCCATCTAGAGGTGGACTTCAAAGTGGCAATGATGGAAGGCTGAGTACAGCCTTACTTCAGCCAGATGGAACAGCATTTGGCAGTATAGTGGCAGGACCTATGATCGCTGCATCTTTTGTACAGGATAGTTCCTTTCTTGAAAGAAGGTATTCGATTGGCACCACTACATTTGTGATAAAATTAATTACTGATAGAGGAATTACTATAGCTGAATTAAAATGCCCGAGATTAGCAAAAGATGTTGATTTTAGTTTAATGACTAAAGTTGCTACATAACTAATAAAATATACATCTAATATTCAATAAATTAGAATAGAATGCTTACATTCGACATAGTCATTAGTGTGACAAGTTAATATTTGATTGAAAGAATTTTTTGTTCATCAAGAGTTCCACTGTATGCAATAGTGTTGTGTCTCTTTCTTTTTCTTGTTTCTCATGTGTTGTTGTGATCTCTCTTCTATGTATTTGTGAAATTGGACTTCAAAATAAATATATGTAGCCTACTCATCCCAGAAATATGTCTTTTATGACATTATCTTTCCTTCAATTGAAGATTGTTCTTGGTTGCTTGCCCCATGACGAGGGTGAGTCGTGAGAGAAGTAGAGGAAACCACCTGCAGAGTTTGATTCTGCATAAATAAAACTGTATATGGTGCTTGTAAACCGAATATGTTGCTTGATATTAATTCTATAGAAGATGTTGTTGGTTGTATATTAGGCAAATGTTGTAGCATTTTATTTCGTATTTTGTGGTGATCATCAGCAACATATAGTACTTAAACTTTAGTTTTACTTTAGAGCATTATAATCATGATTTTCATGGCACCTTGGCGTCCTGGGAGTGCACCGGCAGCACCAGGCAGCTCGCCTCACCGTTTTGCAAGGCTGGCGTCTTGGCATCACCAAACCCAATTCGAATTGTTTTAGCTCCGTCCCCCGCCCCCCCCCCCCCCCCTCCTAAAAAAAAAAAAACCTAGGTTGCCGCTACATTTCTTTTTTGCCTCTGTTTTCTCCACCCACCATCACTGCCCATCATTGGTCAGTAGTAAAGGTTATTTGTATGTAAGGTTTATTTGCATGTTTATTTTTCTTTTCGTCGAAACTTATTTTTTTTATTTTATCTTATTTTCTTGAGTTGAGAACTTGATAGTGTTTCTTTATATTAATAATTATGTTTTCAACATTTAAGTTAATTTTGTATTTTGATGGTGATGTTTGAGTACAGTTATATTTTTTTATTAAACTTATGAAAAGTTCACTGATCTAAGGTTTACCATATTTTATATTAGGTAAATTGCCATATTGTCAATTTGTCAACATGGTGGCACGGTGTCACCTAGGCGATATGATAATCCGATGGTGCCGTTCCTGGAACTTCGAAATAACTAACCTTTATTGCAATTTGTATACGTGCATTTGAAAGATGGCTTTTCTTCGTCTATATTGGCGGTTAGATTGTTGATGCTGACTTTGTGGAATGTACATTAATTGGTTGTTGGATCAAACCTGTGTTACATCTATAATCAGTGTTCCACTATGACCAATGAATGAAGTGAATACAAATTGTGAGTTGTTAGGCGAACAAGATCTGTATAAGCACCGGTGTATTTACATGGAGCTAATGGATATAAGTGATAGCAATATCAGGTTGTATATTTGTAATATAAACAATGGGGGAAGACGTGAGAAAATTTCTCATTGTGGCCAACACCTACGAAGTGATTCAACTTTTGAATGACAATAAAGCATGAATTAAACGAATTTATGCTTATAAGAAATAGGTGAGTGAAAGGATGAATGTGGTCCCAGTAGTTACTTAAGCAAGTATTATTGGTTTTGTTGGCACTTAGTCACTTATTCTATAAAATAGTAATATTCGGAAAAAGAATTCCGGCAGTGGAAATGGGAAGTTAGGAGCATCATCTAAGCAAGATTCTACTTTAGTTTATGGCTTGACCATAGAAGAATTATTCAACAGTAAAAATAAAATAAAATAATTTATTTTTTATATTTGAAATTTTCAAGATGATTGATTTTTTTTAAAAAGAAATTATATTAAAAATTTGGATATATTACTGGTAATTGATATTGATATTCAGCACTTTAACAGTTCATTTCATTGAATTTGTTACTTTATTTCTCCACTTCAAAATTTCTAAAGGGTTATGGTGAGTCATAAACTGAAGCCTACGATGCCACGTTCAATTTTAATCTCAATCCATACGAACATAATTTGACATACAAATTTTCTATCTCAGCCCAAAAAAGAAAAAGGCCATATTTTTAATCTTTTATTGAAATGAAATAATAATTTAGAGTTCGTAAAAGAATTTTCTGAAAGTTTTCTTGTGCAAGGTGAAGAATATTGGAAACGTTAGACTCCTAAAGTGTGTTTCACTTTAAGAGAAATCCAAACCATATCCAATCATGTATTGCACAACCAAATCTTTCATTCTTGTAAGTATATGAAATCAATCAAGTCGTCAAATTCCAAAATACTATGATTTATCCCAAACAGTGTCATTCCTACCAACAATAGATTCTTACCATTTTATGAATTTTCTCCATTAACCGACACTTGAGAAGCTCAATCTTCTCAAACTAATGTGAAAAGCTCAATTCTCTTTTCCCACTTTGTTACTTTAGCTTCTTTCAAAGAATTACCTAACCTTAATACTTAAGAACATTTGACTCCAAAAAAATTTCATAATCATGATTGTATCGCCAAATCCCAAGGTATCATTAAAAAGGTATGTCATTAGCATGAATGGTCTTTTTTATTCGTTAGAAAAACAATTTTAGTCAACTTTATCACAAATGACTACACATCTCAATACTTCTAGATGTTTTGGCATACCATCCATTCATTCACTCATTATTTTTTTACATTTAATACAAATCTTGTCAAAGAATTCCCCACATGGTTTTATCATTAGTGGACATTCTATTATCTAAAAAAGTATGCAATTTAACTTGGATTTGAAAAGTTATATAGAAAGATGAAGATGAATTTCAATGAGTTCTACTCTTTCATATTGACTTCAAAATCCCTTATATATTTTGCTGGTATTTTAGATCCACGAAGGTTTTGAACAAACCACACCCATTGTTATTTGTTCAAGAACTCAAAATCAAATGGTGGAATCTATTTCAAGCTCAATACTATGATCAACAATTGGTATCCTATCTAGTTAATATAAACTTCCTTTTCTTTCTTTTAGCATAAAACAAAAAAGCTGGGTGTTGTCACGCTGTCACACTGACACCAAAGAGGAATTTATGCAATGTGTATAAAGGATGGTGTCGTTAGCTGTAGAACTTGTTTTGTTCCATTCCAACATGCTACAAGAATGACCAAAATGGATGGTGGAATGGTCAACTTATTATACGACATGTTGAAAATATTAGAACAGAATTTCATGTGAAGATATGAAATGCTCGGCAGAACTCAGTCAACACACAAGATAAAAGCAACATTTGTGGAAAATTGGCGAGAGAATCAAATACAACAAAATTGAAAAATAATAATAATAAAACTTAAACTTAATACATTACTTTAATTTCCTAGCCGAGGCCAGAGCAAGTGCACCTGAACACCCACATTTGCTCTGGAAAGCCCATCAAAGCTTTACTGTTGCCGCATCATCACACATGCTCCTCATGTGCTATTTTCCAATTCCGGTAGTAGAAAGCACTGTGGATGAGTTAATGTCATAAAATTATATACCTTAATAATGAGCCGCAACTAGTGGGGAAAAAAAATCACAATTTCTCATAATTTTTAAGTTAATTGTTTTGAAACTGACAAAAAATACAATAAATTCTTAATCCGAGAGTGATAACAAGACACAATTTATGTGATTAGGGATAAATCTCCATGTTCACATTTGAGTTGTTTAAACTAGATTCTTGATAATATTATGGAACGATATAGAAGAGTTAACTATTTATGTCTATGCCCGCATTGCATTGTTAACAAGGTATAGGTAGCAATTATGTACGACAGAGCCTTGTATACCTGCTCAGTTACGAGTTGAATTTAACCTCAATTAAAGAGAAAGATCAGAGGGATAGGGCCACTAATTAAAAAAAAAAAAAAATTGATAATGATTAATAAGACATGTGTTTGCATATTGGTCCGGTGACAACGGCTTCGCTTAGAAATAATATTATTGGTTATGGATGTAAAGTTTGGTTGTAATCCCTTAGGTCAAATACCAATCAAGTCATGAGTCATAGGAAATACATAAACACCTTGCTCCGTCCTCTCTATCACTTAAATACTCACTTACACTTCACAATCACTTCTATCCATTGTTTCATCCAATTTCTACCCTGTTAGACATACTTTATTGTTTTTTTAAGTTGGACTTAATTATGTTTTAGAAGGTAGATTATTTTTCAGCCCTTCGATTCTATTAATTCATTTTACTTTTTTTAATCAAACATATCAAATTCTCATATTCCGTTAGTTCGACTTG